CGCACAACTTCATGGTCATCTGCTACAAACCAATCGCTATCTTCATCCGTGGCATCCATCACATACCACTCTGCTACGTCATGGAACTCTTCACGAACCATACGAAATTGAGGTGAGACTCGATCCACTCATTCTCTCTGTTTACAGCATCCTCAATTGCTTTCTTGTCGTAGGGCTTACCTTCACTCTTCAATTTCCTCTGCTGCCGAAGGTAGTGTTCTTCTCCCGGATAGTGTTCTGGAACTCGTGGAATCCCCTTGTTTGCTGGTGGCAACACTCGCTTGCACACCGGCTCCAGGCGTGTACCACAACCTTGGCAGTTTCCAGTTGGTTCACCATCTTCACGTTCTTCTTCAGAATCTGTGAAACCAGGACTGGGTAGTTCACCGAAAAATGGATTGGTGACTTCATCACCTTCTGCAGTCTCTGCTTCAACTTCTCGAACCATACGTACTGTCCGGGTGTACGTGATGTCAAGTTCTTCCTCGTCAGTTTCCGAGTTGATCGGAAAGGTTTCCGGATATTCTTCCGGTGGAGTGGCGATGTGGTAGAAGGGCTTAGGATTGAATCCTCTCACTCTCCTTGTCACAACTCTCGGGTCAGGTCTACTCGTGGTCAGCCTGATACTTCCCGTCTCGATGACAATAGGTCGGGGATACTGTTCTTGATTCGGTGGATTGTTGGCATACACTTCTGCTTGCGGCTGTTCTTCGGCTTCCACGTTTCGAACAGAATGTCTGTTGGGGCACTCATTTCCCCAATGTCATTCCTGATGACATATCCTACAAACTGTTCTTCCAAGCCTTTTTCCTTTTCCTTGCTTTCCTTTGCGTTTGCTCTTTCCTTTGCCTTTCTTGCCTTTTCCACCTTTCTTGCCTTTGCCTTTTCCTCTTCCTTTACCTCGACCTTTACCTTTACCTCTGCCGCGGCCAAACCTGAATCCTCGGCCTGCTTGCATGGCTCCGAATCCTCGGAACATTTTACCATAACCTTTCTTACCTTTTCCTTTTCCAGTACCTTTTCCTTTCCATCCTTTTCCTTTGTACTCTACTCGATTTACTTCCATAGCTTGGTGTCCTCCACCAGTGGGGGCGTTCTCCACTGCTCCTGGGTACTGCTGATTGTGTCCAGATTCCAGAGGTTGATATACTTGATTCGGCATCCAACTCCTTGTTGTCCGTTCGCAAACAAGTACACTTTCTTTTACCTGAGCATACGTAGTCTTGTCCATGAATTGCCTGCATCAAGGCTAAGCTTCTATTCCGAGTGCTTGGTTGGTATATTTTCAGCAATGACTTCCACAACGCAAATCCATTTCTTGTTCCAGCAATACTTGGGTCTCGAGCATGTTGCTTCGTGGTTCCTGTCAACCATGAGCTCAACAACGAGTGAAGCTTCGTAGACATGGTCTGCTGTTCTTCGTTGCGAAAGTAGCTGGTAACACTTCATGGTCCTCTAGCCTCTCCAGATTCTTGAAGGCATCCGAGTACTTGGGTTCAGCATACGCGAGAATGTTGTATAGCTGTTCCTTAAAATCCATGAAATCTTGTACTTCGGTTTTACCTCCGCCGAATGAAGGCGGCCTGCCCAACATTTTCACTGCACCCTCCAATGCCTTAGATAGTATACCTTCATACGAACTTCCTCCGGCATTTCCTTGGTTTCCACTGTACGTAACTAGCTGGTTGATAGCTTCCGTAGTGACTCTAGAATTCTGAACTAGTTGTCCGAGTATGTCTTGTGTAGGTACCATACCTAATCCATCTCCATCTCCATCTTGCACAGGTACTGCTGAGGCCTGCGCTTGTGGACTTCCTCCTTGCATAGCTTCCGTCCTGACAAGCATGATTGCAAATACCAATGCTTTGATACTCCGCTTGCATCCAGTCACTTTACGTCTCCAACGAGTACTGTGCATCCGATTAACTTTCCTCCGCATACATGTGCAGGTGACTCCTTTTTGCGTTCTTCCTGCGAGAAGAGTTGATCCGAATACGCAGCTACACAAGAGCTGAAGAACTAGTGATACAAATGCGCAACCTAGGGTTGCCAGGACAGCTTTTGCTGTCGGCCCAAGCGCCGTTCCGTCACAGATCCTTCCTTGTCGATCTCCGAGACGACTGCATTTCCAGCTGAATCTCCGGCTCCAACGGGATTTCCTTCTTTGGCATCGATTTCTTCAGAGTTCGGATCCTCTTCCTTCTCGCTGGACTCGCTGGCTTCGGAATCCGACATCCTTTCGTCACTCCCTGCTTCGTCTGGTCCGGGACCAGGCTCCGGTTCTGCTTCCATGGCATCCTTCTCTTTCTCAGAGGGGTCAACTGCTTTCTCGAGCTCTTCCATGGCCTTCTGTGCTTCCCTTGAGGCAAGAGCTTGGTGTTGTCGTGGGTCCTTCCTCATTCTCCACCAAGTCCACCACGTTCCGGCTCGGCGTACTCTCCTCGGCAGTCCAGATTTCCGGCTTGTTCTTTCCTTCTGGCTCGGCTTTCCTCTTGGAGCTGGCTGCCTTCTTGGCTTCATCTTCACGTGCTTCAGCATCCTCCGGCGAAAACATATGGTAGGTACCAGGGGCTTCCTTCTTCGCCATCTCGATGTACTTCTCGTTTGCCCGTGAGATTTCACGTGACATACTTCCAAAGTCACACAAGGCGACCATGGGAAAGTACTTCTTGTAGGGGTTGTCGTCTCCCTAGAATCCAGGGCGGGATATCCCCGCATCGGGAATAACTTCCTTTTTGTCCGGGATCGTTCCAGTATGCACAACATTGGCTCGTACATACAAAATTGGAGTGAGCTGAACTTGCATCCTTTCCTCCAATGTCCGCCGTGCCAACACGAGGCACATAAACTTTTTCCTGGGGGCAGCGATCCGTAGATCGTTTTACCCTTCTCGCCTTCATTCCTTCGATGTCCAGTCTTCCCTTACCGGCTGGGTGCATTGTCGTAGTCAGACTCGCCTGTAAGCTGCCATGGGAATCCATACATGGGCTGCACTTCTCCATGCTTCCCTTCTCCAAATCCTCGCATGGCGATGGAGTACAGCAGCTTTCCAACTTCGTGCGTCCAAGTCTTGGTAGATCCGCTCAGTCCATTCTTTTCCAGGGGTTTCCTCTGGTGGCTGCTTCTTACCTTTTCCAGACTTCCTTTTGTCCCGAGCTTTCTTCTCCTTGGCTTCCTCAGTTCCTTCGGGATCCTTCTTTCCAGGTAGCTTCGGCATCTTCTTAGGCATAGCTTTGACAGCTGGGGCTGTGTCGGGCTCCGACACCGCCGTAGTAGCCTCGCAGATACTGAGGATACACTTTTCCAATGCCTTTTCTTCGCCATACCTGATTGCACACTGAATTGTGCGCGCCATCTCCCCCTGCATTCGCTGTGACTCCTTAAGGAAGGAGCTTTGGCACCGGTCCAATGCCTTGCACTGGATAAGCCACTGCTGCTCGGCGGCTTTTGAGCTTTGGATGACTTCATCCTTTCTCGCTCGCAGCTTATCCACAACTTCTCGGGCTTTTCCTCGGTACCATTCTTCCGCTGGGTCCACGGCTTCCATAGGCAGTTGGATCTTACTCGAGTGGGTTGGCTTCCTGAAGTTCTCGTGCTCTCCGCTCAGCTTCTTCCACGGCACGGATACGCTTTGCTTCATCCTCAAGTTCCTGTTGCTTCTTCTTCGACTCGGCTTCCAAGGTCCGCTTCCTTTCTTCCAGCTCCTCAAGCTTTCTCTTCCGAGACTCTGCCTCTGCTCTTTTCTCCTCTTTTTCCTTGAGAGCTTCGAGACGTTCTGTCTCTGAGTCCTTTCCTGGAGAATCGTGGATTGATCTGGGCCAGTTGTTCCACAACATCTGGTTGTAGATACTACGGAAAAGGGGTTGATAATCCCTGTCGAGGGTAAACCGCTTATACTCCTTCTCAAGCAACATAACGTTCTCAATGCATCCTGCACGATCCATTGCCGCATCCAGTCTTCGCCGAACGCTGCCAGGACTTGCTGCTTCTTCCAGCTTCCTTTTCTCTTTCTCAGCCTTCTTGCTCTTCTTGGCCTCTTTCCGGGCAGTCTTCTTTTCCTTACTTTCCTTTTCCGGTAGACACTGGGGTCCTTGCGGGAGTTTCTCCAGCTGCAGATCCTCGGGCTGCAGACAGTAGGTTGGCATTTCCTTCCTCAGGGTGCTTAACTGGGGTTGCTGCGGCTCTTTCCACCACAGCTGCTCTCCGAGCTTTGGCTTCCTTTTGCATTCCTTCCATCTCGTTGATCCTTTCCAGCATGGGGTCGTCGGTCCTGACCGGTTGGCTGGGTTCTGCTGGGACTCCTGCTGTTTCTGCTGGTCGTCCAACAGGTGGAAGGGTAAGGATTTCCGTGATACGGGTGCTCTTTGGCTGTTCCACTTCCTGTTCTTCCGCCATCCTGGAAGCAAATGTTCCCATACACAGACGACCTTTTCCTCTTTGAGGGGGTACGGCTGCGGTCGGATAGCAAGGTGAGACATGTTCATACAAAAGCAACTTGTTTCCTGTGTGCTTCCTTGGCTCAGCGATACATTCATACAGAATCCCAACATAATCCACAAGAGGTCCTTGTACAGCTTCTCCATAATCACCGTCATGGCGACTCCAAAGTTTCTACTGTACGGTTTCCGGGTATCCTTGGTTACTTCTTTCGGTTCCAACCCGAATTTTCCTGGGTTTCCTTCGGCCCACGGGTTTCCTGGATCTTCAGGGTCGCTTGCTCCGCTACCAAGTTAAACTGTAAGACCCTGAGCGTTCACGCTTTTCCTGCTTAAGCCAAATGACTATGCTAGGCTCTCCAAAGGTGTGGGCGTTCTATGTACAAATCTTTTCAAAGCCAGACTTCGGCTCGACTGCAGACTCGAACGCAGCTTCTGGTGTTGAAAAAGAACTATTACACTGAGAACCACAGGAATATCTTGAAGTCTCACTTCTACCCTGGCCTGATCTACTCTGCTGTATCTTCCCTTTTCCTCAGGCAAAGATTGGGGGAGGAGTTGTCCCTAGTGTGAAACGTAGTGCTTCAAGTCGGGAACTGGTATCGCCGAGACATAGGCATTGCTGAACAAATCCTCCGTGAGAGAAAGGAGCTGATGTCCCGTCGCGGATCTGTGGAGGGGGATGATCTTAGTGCTGTCCAATTTTGTCAGCACCATCATGTCGTGTGCAAAGTCCACCACAGCTCCAAGGGATCTGAGAGCATCCACACTCAGAAGGATCGGACCATTTCCGCATTCCAACGAATGGATCTGCATGACTCCCACGTCGTCGAAGTCTTCCCGGAGGCACTCATCGAGGACCACCCATAGGATGGCCAAGCATGTTGGTACGAGGAGGAACCATACCAGTCGAGGTCCTGCCACTGGGAACCCCAGGAACCCCCGTAACTAGAGCCCCATCCCCAGGATGTCGTAGTTCCGGAATCTCCTTCTTCAGGTACTTTACTTCATCATCAGCGCGCCCTTCTCCGGCTCGATCTTCGCCCTTTTCGTGGGCGGTTGTCTGGCGGCCCCAGCCCCCAGATCCCCAGAAGCCACTAGCATCACTGGATCGGCGGCTCCATCGACAAGGAGTCGTGTAGTGGTTCCCGCCGTAGGTCTCGACCTTGGTCTTCTTGTAGTGCGGCTGCACTCGTCGAAGGGCTTGGCTCACACGGAGAAAGGCCTCGCTCTTGCGCGTCACATAATCATTCATCGACTCCCCCGTCCTGCGACGGGTGCCGTTGAAGTACTTCCCGAGGAAATCGGTGACCTCGTTGACCTTGGGTTTCCCCAACGACTTTCGCAAGTAGTCCAGGACGTGGCGCACACCTCCAGCGAACGCCACCTCTTCCGCGGGTTTACCCGCGACCAGTCGTTTGGCCGCCCCGGTCAATTCCGCCATCAGCCGGGGTGCTGCCGTGTAGCGTTTCCGATACTGAATGCCAGATTCCCAAAGCATTGCCGCTTCTTAGTAAGCCGAGAAGCTCCTTGCTTCCCCATTCCACACTGGGACACCGCGGCTCGGCGCAGCTTCCTTTTCGCTTTCCCCGCTCATACTTCTCAGTCCACACCCTTGGACCGAGCCACAAAGCTATTCCCTGGATCGTCTCGGGAACCTCCTCTCGAAAGAGAAGGCTCCGCTACCGTGCGAGCGGGTAGCTGGATTGGTAGCCGCGTTAAGCTCTAGCACGAGAGATCACAAGGTTATCGTCCACGCCTATGGCCGAAGAACACGAGAGGCACCGAGGGCTCTACTACTACCGGCCTGCGCGGGGACGCGCCTTGTTTGATCCTCCACACTGCGTGAAGTCGGAATTCCAGATGCCTGGGAGCGAGACTAGAGTGAAACTCGCAGCCCCTAGGACTCGAGCAGCTCCGCTACTGTGCGAAAGCCAAAGAAGCGGGCTTCGGACCTACGGGCGCTACTGGGGCTCAGACAGCAGCGCGCTCTTTTCCAAAGCCACCAAGGCTGCGGTGCAGTGCGCAAGTTGTAGCTGCACAAAACACTCTCCACTCTCCGGGGTAGCCTAGCTCGAGCTGTCGCCTGTTGGGTATTATGGGAAACCTACGGGATTTCTCGCAGAATCGCCAGCAAAGCCGCAGCCCCTCCGACGCTGCTTCCGTCATGCTAGAGCATTCCTGGACACAAGTTGTGTAGTAGACGAGCATGCTTCGCGTATGCCAAAGCAGTCCTTGTCACAACTTGTATATTGAGTCAGCTCGCTTCACCCATCTAAGACAGCCTTGGGCACAAAACGTATATTGGGAGAGCACACTGTACGCAAGCTGAGCCAATGCTGGGAACAAGAGGTAGATTAGGCGAAAGCATTGCTGATCACAAGTTGTATGGTCGGAGACGTCGCATTTAGCAGCACGCGTAGACACTGGCCCGTCATCTTCCCGCATGTCTTGACAGAGCATTTTGAATGTCTGTGGCGCTCATCCTTCTGGCCACCGAACTGTCTAATTAAAGCTGGAGCCTCACGACTGGCACTATGACTATGACAGATATCCAGCCGAAGCAAACACTTGGCATGAGCCTCGATATGACTGAAGTCAGTCATAACATGGGCTAGTAAACCAGGTCTCATTTCTTCACGCACATCTGTTCCATCACATCTCTTCTCAGCACACATTCGGTCACTTCAATCGGCCACTGCAAAACGACAACTTTGAGGGTGTGATTTGGGCGGCCAGTCTTTGCAGGTACTTCACTGAACGTTTTCAGTGACATCCTGACCACATACAGACCAGCTTTCTTAACAGAGAAGGTTGCATGGGTGCCTCTGCCCCCTGCTTCTGTTGCTTTTCATGTAATGTAGGCACCTGATAAAGAAACCCTGGGCCTATAACCCAAAAATAGTAGGATTCATACAAGGAACCCTGACAGAGGCCCAAGGTTTCTTAATCACACACACACACACACCTGCACACACACACACACACACACACACACACACACACAGACGTGTATATATTTGTATATATGTGATCCCGGTTCTCGGTCCACCCCCTCCCCAAGCCGAATCTGTGTGACTGCACACACTTCTTGCACATGAGGGCCCAAAACCCGTCATCTCTCACGAGGATCGCTTCCCAAAGTCGCCCGATCCGTGTGATTGTACAAATTTTTCCTGCACGATTCACATGAGGCCGGCAAAGTCGTCAACTGTCACGAGGACCGCGTTCCCTGACACGCCCAACTGTCCCGAAGATAGCGGCCCCACGAGCAACAAAACGATAATCGTTACCAGGCACGTGGGCAGAAGACACCCGACGACCAACCAGAGAAACATGATGATGTTTGAGTTAATGATGAAGCTGGCGATCATCTCTCTCTCTCTCTCTCTCTCTCTCTCTCTGCTCGCCACGGCCGCGAGGGCCGCGTTAACAATCTCGATTGGTGTCAGCACTGGTGTTGCTGTTGCTGTGGCCCTGGGCATACCCCAGCGCTCTACCACTTTGTTGCGATCTGCGGTTTCGCAATCAAGCGCTTCAGAACCAGGAACCCCATTCAGCAAAGCAAGGCGCACCAGGAATTCGCAGCTGCAAGTGAGCCACGTGGAACTCTCTAATGACAACACCTGGAAGGGCATCAGAGCGAATCCTGGTAGTTGCCGTCCGCGACGAAGTAGAAGCTACGCCCTAGAAAGGAAGTTGTTGGTGTTTCGTTTTTGTTTGTCTTAATTTTGATTTTGTTGTTGCCTTCCCCGGGGCCTTTTACTCATGTCAACCGCCGAACCCTCTGACCCCGAAGTCAGATGCCCAAACGAGGCCACAGCTGTCATCGTCAAAGTCGCGGCCGAAAGTAGCCGTGGAGGAACCTGCACGATGCACGGATTATGATGACAGCAGTCGGGCAGACCCTGACCCAAGCGGGCTTTTCACACTTTCTCCAGGCGCATCGGCCGAGTGACCCAGTGGACTATCTGGCTAGTCCGAGGCAGCCAGTGCCACATTTGGCAGCGCTGTCTATCCCATAAGCAAGGTAACACTCCTTACAACCAAGTCAAAAAGAAGCCCTTGCTTAAGCACCCAGAGCCTCGCAGGCACTTGGTCTTCATTACATAACCGCACCTAATTGATCATTAGCAAGATGCACCATGCTTCGCGATGGTGTTGGCTAGACTCGACCTGTGGCAGCGGTCAATACGAATCTGTGCAGCAAAGAGCTGGGTCGCAGCGCAATTGCACAGCTGAAGGACTGCGCAATACATATTGCGCGCCAGCTCACCTTGGAAGGGAAACTGCAACGCAAACCCAATGCTTTCACCTGCCATGCTTTCCGTAAGCTTGCGGAGCGGATGGAAGCGTGTCAACGAGTCCGTCTGCTCGAGCCCCTCCGCCAAGGTAGCCAAGGATTCCTTCACCGTCAAATCAGTGATGTGGCCACGCATGTTGTTGACCAGCTGCGCTCGCGTCGTTGGGTCCCATTGAAGATACCGCCATCGCCAAGGGGTGATGCTTGCATCCAGATAGGCGGCCTTGACCAGGCCATCTCGCGTTTCTGCGAGGTTGCCTCCTCTAACTGTTGCAAGCGCGTCTGGAATTCTTTGACCACACAGTTCATGAGCACCTTGCTTTGCGGGGGCATCCAGCTTGTCAGGGAACCACCGCAAGAAAACCCGAACCCACACCGTGCCACAGGGGGAGGGTGGGAACCACAACAAGGGAAACAAGCCACCACCACACCACACCACAGGGAGGGGGTGGGGGAAGCATTGCGGAGGGGAGGGGGGGTCGGCCGAACCGGGATCACATATGTGTTTGTGTATCTGTATATTATATATATATATATATATATATATATATATATATATATATATACATATACATATATAATATAACCTATAATATATATATATATATATATATAATATGACATATACATATACGTAGTATACGCATATCGCAGGTCACCTGACATGCCGCCCTCAAACAAGCCCGCATAGCGCGATATGTGCGGAGCCCAGGTAGCTCGAGCTGCCGGCCGAGCCGAACCTGAAAAGGCACGGCTGGGCATTTGCGGACACTGTGTCATCTGGGAGGCGGGCGAGGTGGATGGCGGCGGGGGAAGCGGATGTCGTCGCCGTGGCGGCAGATCCGGTTCTGCGGGTCGGCGACTGTCGCGCACTTCCCTGCCTGGTGGCTTCGTGGGCTCCGCTGGGCGGCGGTCTCTGGCTTTGGGCCCCTGGGAAGGCTCTGCTGGCCGCCGTAGGTCGCGGCCGTCACCACCCATCGGTGACTCCACGTACATTGGAGACGTTGGAAGTGGTGGCGAGGGGATGAACATTGGAGATGCTGGGAGAGGAGGGGCTGAAGCCGGTGGAGCCGACAGTGGTGGTGATGCCGCAAGCGGAGGGGAGGCCGGAGGCGATGCAGGGGGAGGTGGTGGTGAGGCTGGCGCTGGAGGTGTCTGCGCAAGCATCTGCACATTGGCCTGCACCTGGCAAACTAATCGGCAGTTCATGACATGCAGCCCGAATCACCACAGACACGGGCAGAAGCATGCCTGATTGTTGAAGGATGAAGCACCAATGAATTGTGCGAGCTGCATCTGGGACAGGCCACTTTCACTCCTGATGCAGTTTGCTGCAGATGAACTGCGCATCTGTCTCCGGGATTGTCTGAGACGCTAGCTGGGCTCTTGATTTCATCCACAGGTGTACCGTGGCCAGGAATTCCTGCGGGATGGGCACCTTCGCACCGTTGTTGCATGGACTTGCGCGGATCTGACACTGATCATAAGCCCACCAGCCCGACGACGTTGTCTCCTAGCTCCAACGATCTTCACAGATCTTCACAGTCTTCTGCGAAGAAATGTGTGCCCATGACCCTCAGTTATTCGATTCTCGTCCCTGGACCTGCTCAAAACTACCAGCCCCACTGCCTGAGAATTCACGGCTGCTTCAAGGTTTTGCGCCACCTGGAACAGATTGCTGGTCCTCGGTGACAGGAAGGTGGTTGAATGCGCTTCGACCTTCCGTGCTTAGCTCTTGTTCATCCGCTCCGCTTCACGGAAGCGAACTCTTGCAAAGGCTCGGCGCTGGGCCCTGGGCCTTGGAGGTGGGGTTTAGGGAATGAGAATGTCAGAATGGGCCCATGGGCAGAATGGGCCACCAAATACCAGGATACGACCTGCGACGCCCGAACTGCGACCGTTTCGGTGACGGGGCATTGCAAGACAGTGGTCTTTCCGCCGCAGGCACCCTGTCCCGCATGATTCATGTCGCAGGATTCATGTCGCAGGACCAAATGCAACACGAAAGGGTTCAAATTGTTCAGCGTCACGCTGCACGCAAAAACACTCAAAGGTCGAAAAAAGAGACCTGCGACATGTGCATTGTTCAAGTCCCGGGTCCTAGGCAGCGTTGCATTGATGTCCAGGCCTTTAACAACAAGAAACAGGCTTGTTCCGCTACAAGAAGACAAGGGTCAAGCTGTTCTATGTTCCATCGCAACCGCAAAATACCGCAAAATTGCAAAATCCTGCCGAGCCGAAACAAGATGATGTGCACGGTGCGTGCGCCCAAACTGCAAGACACCAATGCTCGAAATTTCAGCATTCAACTAGCCTCCCAAGAAATACAGAAGTTCCCTGCGAGGCCACTCCCAGCCCAACCTGCAACACTGCAGTCCCGAAATGCTAGAACAAGCTCAACAATGGACTTCCACGACCCTGTACAGCAGGCTAAAGTATGCAACACAGATTCACTGAAAAACCACGGGAATCTCACCGATATCGAACAAAACACATCCTCTTGCGCCGCCCGGGTCCAAACTGAAAAACACAACAGGTCAAACTTCTGAGAGTCGCAAAGCACACCGAAAATCCCACCCATTTCGGCCCGACTGAGATAGAGGTGTCAATCTTTAGCGCAAAAGTCTACTGAGGTCCAAAACCCGCCGAAACCCGCAATCCCACCGGTGTCGAGGAAAGCCTTTCGGGAGTCGCGGTCCCAAACAGCAACAAACGGACCTTCTTGCTACACTGAGCGCAGACACGACTCGACAGAAGTGCTCGAAACGATTTCGATTTCAGCTTCAGATGAGATTATTGCGGTTGCTTCGGTGATTTGACACAGCCTTCAGCTACCGGGCTGCCGGCTTCATCCCCATCACAATCTGTCCCATGTAGTGGCGCTGTCCTCCCAACTAAACACCGAAGCATAGCATGGCTTAGATATCTTGTGATTCTTGCAATCCGTGAAACTACCCATTCTGCAGATTCTCGGACCGCAGTGGACTCCTTCATTGATGGCTGGCAGCGACATTCTCGCTCCTGCCCGACACCCTCAAAGCGCTCTCTGCCCGGCATCCCCTCGAATTGCAAAGCCACTGTCAAGCGTGAAACTTGCCTGGGACTGGGACTGCGGGCACTGCGCCGCAGCCAGCGCAGGGTCTACGGGCGAAAGCTTTCTTTGTCTGAGAACGTCTCACCGCTCCCATCGCTGGGGCGAGTACATCATCCCTGGGAGGGCCGACGCCGCTCCCATCATCGGCGCCTCGTTCGCTCGGGCAGTTCCAGCCTTGCAGCCGACTGCCGCCAGCCGCAATAGGCACCCGGCGACTCCCAGGTTCCCGCCGAGACCGCCTGGGTTCGGGCCGCTTTGCGGGCCCCACCTCGCACTGCAGACTCGGCCACGCACAGCCAAGGCACTACTTCAGCTGAGCCGCATTCCCATCATGGTGATGGCGAGCTTCACACACCCCCCTACGGGAGCCACTAGTCTGCTCAGTCTGCTCTGCGTCTAAGTGTCTGCTGCTAAGGCTCAGGGGCCAGGGCTCTCTCAGGTGTGGCTGGGGTCTGTGATGAGCCGGCAGTCTCGGGCTTCATGTTGCAAGTCAACGCTGCCGCATCGTCTCCGCACCACGGCTTTGCATTTTCAACACGGAGCGGCTTCCAGCATGCCCGCGAGTTTAGCGAGCACGATGCCGAATAAAGAGAAGTGCACCAGCCACCACACCTGTGAACTTGTGAATCGCCCCCAAGGTTTGAGGTCTTGATCCTCACAAGAAGCCATGAAGCGCACCTCAGATCACAGCCCGACGATCAAGAGCGCTTTCTATTGAGTCTACCAGCCTCGTCTGGCATGTTCCTGCCGCCGCGGCCAGGAGTGGAACGGCCGGAGCCTGCAAGTTCTGCGCAAATGACGCAATGGATTGCACGTCTGTCACTCGGGCACTGGAATGCACTCGCAGCACACCTGCATGCCACAAGACTTGCTAGTGGCATGCTGGCCATGACAACGTTCTCTTCCGGCTGGTCGTCCTTCTCCTCACATTGGCACACCAAATACAATGATGATGCGCAGACGGCAAGGACTCCTCCAGAATGGGCTGAAGGCCTAGCAGGCATCCAGGCACCCGCATCAACCGGAAGGCAGGGAAGCTGAGCCGATGGCCGTCCGGCGTGTTGCCAGTCACAGACCTCATGCAATGCTCTGCTGCTCTGCTCTCACCACTCGGTGAAGCGGTCCATCGTCGTTTGTGCTGGGAGTGCTGCCCAATCGTCCGCTCGGTATCAGCCAACAAATCCGCCGCCTCAGCCCACAGAAAGCACTCATCTGTCGGTCACTCTCTGTCTCCTGCCCTGCAGGCAGGTCTCTCCAGGGCTCGGCGGCAGCCCGCCTGAAGCTGTTGTTGTCTTTTCTCAGCTTTGGTTCGCCGTGTTCCCCCAATCTCTGCAGGAAACAGGGCCTGATCCGTGAGCACCTCCTCCACCCACCGCCTCCTACAAAGTTGTGACGGCGGGAAGCAGCATCCAGAAGCCCAAAAGACTGCCTTCACCCGACCAAGGGACAGGTGCAAGCTGTGCGCCAGCCTTGGAGCTGGGCAAACCGCACAAGAGCCCCGATTCTCCCAGAGTCTCAGTTCGCGTCGAAACCGCTTGGTTGCCGCCGTGGCAAGGATACGTGCTCTGAGAGGCAGCGGTCCAAGTGGCATGTGCACTCGCATCGACCGAAGGCGGCAGACAAAGCTGCACCTCGATGACTGGCACAAAGGCATGGGTGAGAACCAGGGACCGGTCAACGTAGTTCTGCACATCCTCCGAAAACGCAGAGGGCCCCCAATGCTCAAAACAGCTAACTATGACGAGAGCCGCTGCCTTCGCAGCGACTCGCAGTCGGTCAACAACCTCGGCCGTAGGATACAAAAGCCGCGACACGCCGAGCCGCTGAGCCGCTGAGCCGCTGAGCCTCGTAGAGTTGAGACAAGGCAGCCTCGTCCTTGTAGTGCTCGCGGGCGAAGTCCTGATTACCGGGCATGGGCTGGCCAGGCAATGCCCGCATCTAACGTCGACACCTCCGTGAGATGCAGCGCCCGCTTGCCGCGGGAGAGCGCTTCGGCCGCCCTCTGGGTGAGGTCAGAGAAGTCTTGATCTTTACGCCGAAGACTTGGACTTTGAAGGCTCCAAGCGCCGTGCACTGCCTGGATCTCAGCAGAGTCCCTGAGCTCAGAAGGAATCTACTCCAGCGCTTTGCCACACTTAGTGACTTCGTGGCCTCGGAAGCAGCTCATCGCTGATTTGGCGGAGCCTGAGCTTGAAGGCAACGCTATCTGCTAACTCATTGAACTCCTAGACAGCATCAGCATCGTCGTCAGGTAGGATGTGTCACCACTCCGAATTGGCTTGGCCCAGAAGCGAGAGGTTCGCCACATCTGCTCGCGGCATGGCGGATAGTCAGCTGCACCCCGACCACGTTGAAACGACTGCATAACTCCGAAGTAAGAAGCAGATGCCAGGTGTCCAATTTCTTTGTGGGCTCATTCCGATCTGGTCGTCTTCGGCTGTGAATGGACTCCAACGATCTAGTTGGTCAGGACGGTTTTAGACCTTGAGGTGACTGTTTGAGCAGGACACTTCAAAGCCACATCACCTGGAACTGGTTCTGAGCCCGCCGGCTGCAATCGATTCGCTTGTCACAACATGTGGCAGCATGAAGGACAACACATCATGAAGTTCCATGCACAAGTACGGAAGAAGTCGTCCATTGACCCGGTTTCAACAGGTGCTGACACGTCGCTCAAACTTCCTCAACACCGATCGGATCCGTGAAAGAATGCTTTCGTCCAGCATTCAGCACATAGCTCGAGTAGAGCTGCATGGCAAAGTCGTAGTTGTCTTCCAGGGTCGGCATGGGTGGGACCTGCACATCGCGCCAGTGGCGGAGAATCTTTGGGCAATCCTCAGGTGCAACTGGCCCGGGCGCCAGATCTTCCCAGGAGTTTACCGGCTCTGGTTGCGCCGGCACAGTCGCTCCGGTGACCTCATATTCATCCCCCCAAACGCTGTCGCTGTCCTGTTGGGGAGCTGGACCTGCAGGCATGGTCGGGCCAGAACGAGGCATCTGCGGCCCCGAGCCAGTGGCCGCCTCCTGCACCTGGAGCATGCCCAGACAAGTCTTGTGTTCCGTCCGCACCCATAGGAGTGTTGCTTGGACGTTTTTTCGATAGTTCAGGTGTCTCCGATTCATCCCATGCTCTGGGGTGAAGTGCTTGCCGCAGGCTGCGCAAAGGACAGATCCCAGAGTCTCATCTACAGTCATGAATGGGTCCTGCACTACGGTCTCATCTGCACCCAACTGACGGGCCCGAGTCTGCAGCTCGATGGAGGTGCTGGGTGGAGCCCTTGGGGCAGGTGCAAAGCCTGGGACTGGAGTCACTGCAGAGCCCCTGACATCCCAGGTGGGAGCAGCATCTTCGACCGAAGGAAGATTCAGGGGCTTGCGTTCTGCGTTCCAGGCCTCTGTAGCTAAGTTTGCCAGCCCACAGCCGGTCACGGTCTGGGTCAGGTGCTCCCTGCTGACATGTCCCCGTCGCCCTGCTGAGACCACGTAGGCCAAGGCCAACGCAAGCCAAGCGGCACGCCTCCGGTGCTTAATGTTGGACCCCATTCCTACCGCCCTCGTATCGTCCAGCTCGATCATGGAAGCACATGTCTCGCTAGGCCACTTGCCTGCATGACGCAGGACGGCCATCACTTGAGCGGTGACATCTGTTTCAATCGCTTCCATGCGACTCCGTGTCGTCTCCAGCTGCATGCAGGTATCCAGAACGTGTGCAGCAGTTGACAGAAGGGGCGAATCTGGCACCACCTTCAGGCAAAGAACCTTTTCTGCGTTTGAGATGGGTAGCCAAACCACTTCTCCATCAAAACACTGACCAGCCATGGCACCGCGCTCTCTAACAGACCTCACGCAGTGAATCGTAGCCCACGGAATCAAGCCTCTACCAAGCCTATCATGAACGGCAATTACCGAATGCCTTGGTTCCTTATCTCAGCCGGAGACCTTCGACTTCGACTTGAACTCTGCGGGGAGGCTCTGTTCCGTGAGAGCTTCGTTTGACCCCACCCGTCTGAGACTTTGCACACAGTCTTTTCTTCGCTCGGGCTGGGCGGCTGGACATGCGGCGGTCACTTTGGCTACTGCACGCCATGCCGGGCACTTCCTGCAGAGACAGAGCTGGCATGAGCTGGCTATGACCCACAGAGGCAAGAAGATGGGCACATTTGCTGAAACTCATGGGCAGCGTTGCCGAAGATGGGATTGAATAGGCACAGTCGGCAACACGAGACTTTTAAGACTCGATTCCCTTGACCCGCGATGCTTGCACGATGCCACCAAACGTTCCATTGGACGAGACATGCAATGCTCAGCTTAAAGCAAAATGAGCGACACGGAATCGGCTGGGCCCTGTCGGGCCTTGGGCACCATGTCCTCTGTCAAATCACCATCGATGCAGTGATCACAGAGGGAGCCTTGTCTCCACCTGACGCAACACGCCGTGTTTGCGGCTCTAAACCCGAAATGCGCTCCGGCGGGCCCCCGACGTCGGCCAAAGATCTTTGGTGGCAACTCATCCTCTGCGGCACACTCGCCGGAGCGAAGCTCGGTCACGCAACGCTGAAACAGACTCGCCGAGTCCTTCGGCAGAAGTGGTCCCAGCGCCTCGCTAGCCCGAGTTGCCTTTGTGCCGAACGGCTTCGACAGGCCTCGGCCACGTGTTGATCAAGGTCCGGCCGCGGGGAAGTAGCCCTCTCCTCGGCTGAACACCACGAAATGAGCTGTACTGCAGCGCTGTGAACCCCCGCCTGGCCCGCCTGGCTGTGTCCAAGGTCCTCGATGTCTTCGATGTCGAAAGGCCCGTGCGCAGAGTGCTGCTCGATCACACAGAAGAAACCTCAAATGGCGCACTGCACAAGAACTTACAACTCACGGCATCTCACGGCTCTTGCCGGTGCCATGAGCAACCCTTTTCAAAGCCGCGTTGCGCTGCTCGGTCTGACCCTGCACCGTGGGGCAGCCGCGCTCTCCACAGCAGATCAAATTTTCCATCTTTCCAATGGCATGTCCCATGGAAGCAAGCTGTATGCTGAAGACCTGAACGACCTGAGATGCTAAACCCCTAAACCGATTCCCTGGAAGTGAAGCGATGCTGCTTGGAATAGCTTGCTACTGTCAGCTCTTCAGTATGTTAAGGGAAACGGCAAGGAAGTTCCACAGCCTGCGAGCCAAAGCAGCTTGGCAGTGGCTCTGGTACTCTGCAAAACCTGATTCCTATCCTTTCCCAAACCCCTTCTGATCGTTCTCCTCCATCCCGAGTGAAACCGTCTGCAGTCAGGCGCCATTTTCAGCCCGACCTGGACTGCCAACCACCAGCAACTTCCCGACAGGCCGAGACCGAGAGCCGCGCAGCCGTAGACCGTGGGTGAGACTCCGATGCACCTCTGGCAACTGCATTAGAGAACATGGACCTCCGCACTTCGATTTAAGACCGAATCCCTGCTGGAGGCCACTTACCAAAACGTTCAAAGCAGGCCCAGGAACACCAGGACTCCCAGACCACGCCTCAGAAGGTCTTCCGTGCCACGAGGTTGCGCACGTCGGACTTCCCCTCTTCGTACTCCTCGACGAAACGGCAAAGACCAAGAGACTAGGATCCTGGAAATTAAAGCACTGCGCTATGTGTGCTACAACTAGTAGCTGCGAAGTTGCACTCAACGGCACGTCCTGATGCCCGCCATGGGCGCGAGCGATCAGTGGGCAGGATTTCTTCTGTTCTTGATGCCTTTGGTGACGAACTTTTAGATGTCTTACTCAAGGCGAAGCTGCCTACTCGACAGCAAGAGCCTCTCAAAAGAAATGATGCAGGTGCTAGAGAGTTGCATCTCGAGATCCTAGGCCCTAGCCCCCTCAGGATACTGCATGTACTGCAGCGTGGCTCTGGTTTCTTTACTCCACGGCAAGCTGTCCTGCTTGGTGATGGCCACCTGGTCGAAGGTGGAGAGCGACGCAAACATGGAGCCGCCGATCCAGGCAGCGAAGCGGCGTTGAGAGTCACTGATGACCTCCACCTTGCAGAAGCTGCACTGAACCCTACCTTTCTCCCTGCTCTGCACTTGGGGTTCCGGCTGTCTTGGACAGCTCCGATGCCAGCGTGCTCTTGAGCTCCGATCTCAGATGCTTGCGGCTGCTTGCGTGCTTGGGTCGGCGTCGGAGTTCGGATCGCTTTGCTGCAGCTACTCTGACTCTGAGCTTCCAGTCTTCAATTCGGCTTCGGCTTCGGCAGCGGTGACGACGGCTTTAGGCGCTTCAGGCGCTTTAGGAACCTCTTTCGAAAGCCCATTTTGGCCTGGCCTCAACCTTGGCGCCAAGTTCAAAAGCATCGAAGTGCCGCCTCTCCGTGCAAGCGCCACGCAAAGCACGCGCCAGCCAGGAGTCAAAGGCCTGCGACCACCACGCTCTTCACCAGGTCCTGCTGCGATGTTTCAACGAGCAGAAGCATCTCAGCTTCGGAAATGATGGGCGCCTGTCGGAAATCCAGGTCCACTGTGTTGATGGCATCCAGGCAGATCTTCTGCATGGATGCCCTCAGGAAAGCACAGGTCTGGGCCAGCAGAGGTGGAAGAGAGAGAGTCAGTATCCGACTCCCCATCACCGCCAAAGAGGATCTCCGTGGCCCCGGTCCGGATCTTCTCCTTGACCTGCCGCCAGACGCCGCTCAAGCGAAACGGCGGCCCAGCCCAGCCGTTTCGAGCACCTGGATGATCTGCCCGTCCGGCAATTCGAAAGACCTCGCTTCCTCGTCCCCGCTGTCGGGCCTCAGACTTGGACGCCATTTAGGCCAACAAATCTCCAAGCCGCCGCGAGGGGTCGCAGGGTCGCGGCGCGTCGGCCGGGACGCCACCACTGCCAGAGGGTGCGACGAAGCAGACCTCGGCATGAGCGGTGCAGCAGTGCAGCAGTCTGCTCCTGATCCGGGAAGGCGCTTCTGTTGGTCCAAGGCACTTTCTCCTTCATGGCCTGCATCGTGTGATGGCTCTGCTTTGTCCCAAGCTCTTCAGCCTGCGAGGCCCAAGGCTTGAGATTCCACTTCCCCCGCCCCATATCTGAGGGAAGAGCCATCATACTCTGGAGGCGTTGCGTAATGTCGTGCCCAGCGACCTTTGGAACCATGACCCGCTTCCAAGGGGGCGGGCTCCCGTCCCGTACAAAATGTACACTATGAAGGATGGTGAGACGCTCAGAGTGCGACCTTCATCTTGAAGATCGCGTGAGGTATCGCGTACCCCTCGAAAACCGGAACAGCCTGGATTAAGAAGTCCAAAGGTGTCTTTGGTTAAGGCCCAGGTCTGATTTCAGGCGTTGAAACCGCATGACGTGAGCAGAGCAGCGCTGCCTGGGTGATGCCCTCACCGCTCTCCAAAACCAGTCCTCTGGTGCCTGGGCAGCTGAGCAGCTGGAGCAAGTGTTCAGCGGCTCAATCCAACGACTCTGTGAGACCCACGGCCCGTGGAGAACAAGCTGAGGGCCTTGGAGGTGTGACAGCTCGTAGCACGGCAGCGCCTGCTTGTCTGGGCTCCAGACTGCCGTGTTGAAGATGGCCAAGGACTTTACCTTGATCTTCTCGAACATCACCTGCAAGCGGATTTGAGAGAAGAGGCCGAGGCAGCCACCTGTGCAGCCTCCGCTATCCACTGGCGTGTTGCGTAGGAACCTGCAAGAGTCCCAGTCACTCTGCACTCTCTGTCGCTTCCTGCCCGATTTCTCCAAGTCGCTCTGACCAAGAGGCATGGTGTCTGCAATGAGGCATGGCAAGTCCTCCATCATCGGCTGCTTGCAGGCATCTGCAAAGCATCTCCAGATGTGTCGGGATGTCCTCTTGCTCAACGCCCAGCACATTTCTGAACACGTGCTCGAGGAGGTTCTCCATTGCTTCCTCTCAGGGGTCGGGGTAGCACCGGGACTCCGTGGTGTGTCAAGTTGTGCGCCGACATGCAAACTCTGCCGTCTGCAACCTGTCCTTCTCCGGCTGTGTGAGCTGGATCTCGCCACGCTGCACTGGACGCGTGATTTGCGCGTTTTCCTGCGACATGCAAGCGATGCTACCTACCTCCCCTGTGTCCTGGGCCGATCCCACCTGCAGAATGGCCTCCTCACCATAGAAGACTTGACCTCAAGGCGGATCAGCTTCCGCTTCTGCGCATCCTAGTATCCCTTAAAAGAGCGAAGTTGCTCTTTTTCTGTGCTGCAGAATCTCCCGTTACCTTGGAGACGTGGCGCGGGACAAGCAACCCAGGCTTGGCCGGCATCACAGGCTGAGGAAGCATCTGCCGCCTCGTCTTCCCTGGACTCATCGGCCTGGAGTACATCCAAAATCACCAAAGCATGGCAAACTTCTGAGCCGTCCCGCCGTGGCAGTCGCCATTGCAGTTGGGAGCACTGCTCGCGGTGCATCTTCACCGGAGAAGCCAACCTACAAGTTGCAGTGGGCTTCGTGTCTGCTTGGGTCTGAGAGGACCAAGTCTTTTCCAACTATTCCACATAAGGCGTTGGCTTTCAGAAAGCCGGACCCTGTGTCCAGTACCACGACATCCTCCACAATGCATCGACAATCAGAAACCGAGACATTCGTATTTCCCCCTGGCATTGGAGACATTAACACGCAAACACCACCACGGCAGCAACAACAAAGAAATGGGCAGGGCGACGACGACCACCACCCCGACCACGACGAGGAATCCTGCTCGTCCATGGTGCACTCCAACTCCATTCCTCGGAGACGGCGAAGGGCCGGGGGAGGCTCCATCTCCGAAACGCATCGCCCATGGTGCAGCTGAGCCTCTGCCCGCATCCCCCATGATGCTCCCAAGGATTCCGGGCCCTCTCCTCGAGGGTTTGGCCGAGGGGCCCCCTGGGGGCGCCTCTCCCTTCTCCCTCTCTTGGGCCAAAATCTGCGGCCAAGCTCTGCCCAATGCTGTGCATGCCTCAGTCGTCTGCCTAAACACCCTTGCAACCCCAACCACCCTGTCTTCGCTTCGAGACTGCAGGCACTGCTCACACGATCTTCTTGAGCTCCTCTGCGACGTACCTCCCAGAACTGTCGTCCGAGCAAGGTGCGACGTTCATGGCGGCGCACCCAGATGCATCTGCTTGACCGGAAGGGTCGATTCTTGCAGCCAGCTTCTGCCTGAGTCTCACAAGAACCCATTTCCTTACAGGAATCCCAAAACCATCCAAAACCCAATGACAAAATCCTTCCGACTTCCAGATCTTCGAGATAGGATTGTTGAGGCATTTAAATTTGTAAGTGGTTTAACAGCTGAGTCTTCCGACAAACCAGGTCTTTTGGGCCGATGGCACGACTCCAAGCAATGTGGGTTTCAGGTTTGAGTCGCCTGAAAGATGAGGTAGTTTCTGAGGGAGCTTCAAGTTACTGTCTGAGTTGCGGGCTTGTCTGGTGGCAGAGAGCGCAACATCCAGGCACATTCCGGCTGCAGGTGGAAGTCGTTGATCAATGCCTCGTTAAGGTATCAATTGGTTCGCCCTCATCTGGGCAGAGTGGTGCTGACAGCAATCACGAAAAGTACGATCAGGCCTCTATCGCTGTTTTCGCAGACTGCTTCACCGGCCGCATCCTTGGGAGTCACAATTTTTCTCAAGCCACCAAAGTGCAAAAGAACAAGACTCAGGGAAACCTGTAAGGAGCTGGCCCTCCATTGTGTGCGTGACCTAACATGTGCTGAGCTTGGCAGATCCCTGCTCTGCACAGCGCAACACTTGTAGCCCCTCCGATCTTTTGTAGGAAACCCAAACAACCCAATCAATATCAACAACATGCTCATAGTGTCATAGGTGCCTACTGCCACCATGGTTGCTTCAGACCCACGCAGGCCAACACTTTGCCTCAACTCCCACGCCAGACAGAAGTTCACAAACCTTCAAGAACGGCACACAAATGTCTTTGCGGAGACCGAGAAGGGGAATTTCCATACCAGACAAGGTTTGAGATTTAACATATCCAGTGCAAGGGAACTTTCCAGAATCGCAAAGTCTGAAGACACGGTTTCTGATTTTAGTCCTGGTGCCTCGAAGGCAGCCGGACCGATCCGCCTCAAGGGCCTTCCAAAAGGGAAAAGAAAAAACCGCTGCGAAATTCTCGGAGGAAGCCAGAGGCTCGCTGCCTGCTTCATACGACTCAGCAGCGAGGAGGTTGGGCTCCTGTGGTCTTCTGCTTTCATTCGAATGCCTGGGTAACACTGTGCCGGCTCCTGACATCCAAAGGGCCGCGCCGCATGACCTCCTGCTGTAAGTGCGGTGGCATGTCCCGAAGGCGATTGGCCACCTAACAACAGGGATGAAATGCTTCAAGTTGCACGGTCGTCGCATGCACTTGCGAATGCCGCGGCAAAGTGTTGAGTTTTTTTGTCCCGCGCCAATTCGCGTCTCTTTGGCAAACTGTCTGTGCAAGTCCTTGTCTCTGCCCGTCAATCCACCTCGTCTTCCGACCGGTCTCCACCTCCTGGCACTACTCAAGACAGCATAAGCATGCAGAAGCCGCGGCAGGAAGCCTCCTGGCACGACCCTCCACTGTAGCTGCGGCCTGAGAAGAACAGAACCTGTGTCCTACATGGGAAGACTGGCCCGCCTTTGCAGCCATTCCTCAACCTCTCTGGCCTGATCCTGCAAAGGCCGGTTCTTGCCCGCAGTTGCACAATATGCAGCTTAATCTCTCACGATGCGAGATCACCATGCTGGGTGCACCGTACCAACTGCAAAGTGACACTTCGTTGTTGGGGGCCGATGCTGGCTGCATGAAGAAACTAGTGTCCGTGCTTCAGAATGGAAGCTAAGTGGACATCCCGACAGCGGGTCCTCGGTTGCATCAGCCAAGTGCCTTGCCCATTCCAGATTTCACCCGGCAAGCAAAGGACCGGTCATGACGAGGTCAAAGGGTTCTTGACGATTCGGAAAACGCAGGCCTTGCCACGGCCAAAGGATCGTCCCACGCCGCAAAAAGGCTCAGACTGGGCCTCGCTCGAGACAGAGGCTTTCCCCTCTCTGTCTCTCGCGAGAGGGCGCATTTAGGTGTACATGTACTGAGAATGTCATCGCCATCGCTCTGTTTCACAGGAAAGATGGGGTGTCATCACCAAATCGCAAGATATGGGTGCGACCTGGAATGCGTAGTCTACCTTTAGCATCCATGGATGCGCTTCGAGCATCGGGCTCTCCCAACAGTGCGCGCAGCGCAGTACCTTCATCACCCTCCTGGCACGAAACTGCGGTCCATTCAAGGCAGCGGAGACCATTTTACACCAGGCCTTTGTGAGGGCATGCATCTGCGCACTCATGCCACCATACCTCGGTGCCCAACAACGAGATGACGCGATTAACGTGCACTGACTGATCCTTCGGTTCCCTTTGGCTTCTGGCGCATCTGGGACACGCGGATCTGCACGTGCAGCCAAAAGGTGTCGGCAGCATTCCAAATGCCTCGGGTGGGTGATCGTATGGGCAGACAAGACGGCGACGAACATTGAGAGGAGGCCCTGTCCCTTTGCTGTGCGCACTGCTCTCCCGCAGCCGCCACATGTAGAGGCTGGAGTCCATCGTTGTCAGCCTAGGCGACAACAAGGCACAGGGAGCAATGTTCAAAATTGCGCAACTACGGTATCCTGATCGGGTCCCCGGTTCAAAAAACACCGCGTTAAGAAATTGAGGGGTTGGACGAAAAACACCCGGGGGAATGGAGCCTGCGACCTTTGCCAGCTGACGCCTGAGCTACCTAGTGAAACCGTCCTTTTTCGGCATGCGCAGAACTCCACACAATCATACACAATCCGAAATCGAGCCTCTCGATCGTGCAGCTATCAGAAATCCAGCCTCTGGATTGTGTATTTTGGTGTTTTTTGATAGAGCCTTTAGAGCGCTTTTAACACGGTCATCAAGGCCTGATGAAGCCGCTGTTGGGGATGCCCAAAACCCACCAAAATCAGAAAGCCACGTTGGATGTCCCAATTTGGTGGTTTTTTCATTTTTGTGTCAATCTTGACTCAACCCGTTTTAAGCCTCCAGAGCCTATAACAGCCGTTATCAAAGGCCCAATGACTCATTAGGAGACGCACCCAGAACCTCGAAAGCGAAAGTAGAACCTAATCCTTCGATGTCTTACTGTGAAAAAAATCCATCTAGCCCCTGGATTTCTTGTGGTGGTAGTTGCTGATTCTCACCCTTACTACCCGTATTAAGCCTTCAAAAGTTTATAGACCCTGCTAAAAAGCCAGTGTTCAGGCTTAGTGAAGCCCTTATCAAGCCCTCATTAGGCACACCCAGAACATCAGAAATCCAGCCCCTCGACTACTTTGGGGTTTTTGATTCTGCACATGTATTGCGAAACCTGATTAAGCATTTTGGCCAAGGAGAGAAAACTACACTCGAAGCTAGCCGCGGCACACACGCTCCAAAAAATGTGGGTGCCCCAAGCTAGCCACCGTTTGCAGCAGAAAGCCGGGCGGGTGGGCGGGAAGCTTGAGCGGAGGTCAACCATCATGTCGCAGCTTACATGTCAAGCAGCTCCACTCGTTTTCCGTCCGCGTTCGGGTAGATGCTGATTTTGTACGATCGCCAGTCTTTGGCGAAGGAGGGAAAACTACACTCGAAGCTAGCCGCGGCACACACGCTCCTAAGAAGCGTATGTGCCCCAAGCTAGCCACCGTTTGCAGCATCCTTTCCTTGCCAGGGCTAGACCACAAGTAGCGCAAGTACCAGAAAACAAACCAGCCACCTTATCCCTGCGAGAGCGCTTACTTTCTGTCAGCAAACATGTAGAACCACGCGCTGGGCGGGATGCGACTCGACAACAGGAAGCTGCAGCGTTGAAGAACGCGAGGAAAGTCCGCCGCCAGGGTGTCAACCAGTTCGCGGGCTCGCTGTTCCAGCCGCAGCAGGTATGTAGTCGCAACGACCTCCTGGAGATACACTTCCATGACTCGTAGAGACATCCATCTCCCTCTTCTCCGCACCAGCTCGCTATTTTCGGTCAAATGCAACATCCAGGTCGCACCTCCCGGCCGAAAAGACGCCAGGTCAAAAGCCGGTTTCTTGTCACTCCCAAGGCCAAGGCGCAAAAGCACAGCCTGAAGTCGCCGACGTAGAGTGCCAGAAGACATAGGCCAGAGGCGGGCTTCAGGAGGCAACTTGCTGAAGGCCATGCTCAAGAGTTGCAGGATGTCAACAGGATCGATCCTTACTGCTTGATGGCGCGCCGCTCGGCCACGAGTCTTCGGAGTCTGCACCTGGAGGAGGCCAAAGGCGGTACCCGGAGCCGCATCCGACGGCAGGATGAGGTCGGCCCGCTTAGCTGCAAGTGCTTCCCCTATGCGCAAAGATGGCTGCTTCGGCAGCCAGCCCCACATCAGGACGCCCTTAGGCATAGCAGCATGGTGCTGAGGCGGTTCCTCGGACAACCAAGCAAAGGCCAGATCCCAAGCGTAGCCAAGAGATCGCCGGATGCCAGGGCGCAAGCTCGCAACACCATTTATGGTTTCAGAGTACCTATAATAAGGAAGCCCTGATCGGAAAAGGTATTGCCCATACTCAACCAGCACTCGGGCAACATGCTCAGCTTCACCAAGCGGCCTTTCCAGCAGCTCGCGTAGAGAGCCACGATGTCCCAGCTGCAACCACTGACCGAAGTCCTCGAGCAGGCGGGCACGGTTCCAGCGCGTCTGGGGGCGTACCACTCGATCGGCAACTAGCTCGACCGGTTGCCTCCGCCGGGCCCTGTCACAGTCAGCTGGGGTTCGAGGTGCAGCGGTGTCCATGGCATCCAGGAGGCAGGGCAGGCTACAGAAAACCCACAAGACCCAGAACACCCTGAAAGAACCCCAACCTTCACCAGCAAAGCCCAGGGAGGAGTCAAAGTCCAGGGCAAAGTGACGCAAGTTTCCGGCAGCACCTGGAAAACGAGAGAGCCGAGAGGAGGCTCGGTGAGCGGAAGGCACAGCGCGGGTTCTGAAGAAACCAAAGGGCAAACGGCAAAAGACCAAAAGCTGCCACCAAAAGGGGCAGCGGTCAGAGAGACACTTGCAGGCTTGCAGGTCTCCCACGGCTGAAAAGAGGGCCGAAGAAAGTCAAAGAGGAGAAAAGGGCGGCAGCGAAGTCCACTGCACTGTAGGTGAGGACCCTCCCCAGAGAGGCGTCGAAATCCATGACGGTGGCTGCGAGATTCCTCGAAGCAGGGAGCGAACCTGCCAGCCAGCATACCAAGCAGGAGAGCAGAAGGCGGATCCCAAGCGCAGCGCACAACCAGGAAGAGCCTCGCCCAAGAAGCCAAAGGGCGGCTGAGGCGATGCTGAGCCACACCATAAAGGGCAGCGCTCGTAAAGCCTGTGGGCAGCAGCTTCTCGTAGATCGGCCCAACGAGTCGGATCATCGGCCACATTTAGCCTTGTAGGTGCAAACCCGTAGGCTGCATATAGACCGAAGCCGTGCTGGAGTGAAGCGGCTCGGAAGAGACCCGCCCGCAAAGCAACAGAGCTAGACCTGCCCTTGGTAGATGCACTCTTGGCAACCTGGGAGTCTACCAGACCGAAGTACCGAGAGTCAGGAGAGTCCAAGGCTGCTCGTCGGTGAAGTACGCCCAAGGAGGCGAGCTCTAGCACGTTTATGTGTGACTTTCTCTTGCACGGGATGGTGATGTCGACCTTCCAGGGAGCAGCCGCCAGCACGTCGTTGCAGAGCACGCTCTCAAGCCGAGGAAGCTCTCCGTGCTCAAAGAGCTTGGAACCACGGGAAGCCTTGAAGGCCAGGGCCAGCGCCACAGCGAACCAGTGCAAAACCTCGTACTCGACTCTCCCTGGCCAGCGGGCTGGTGAAGGTGCCCACCAAAGCAACAGCGCTGCAGGCTGCAGCTCACCCGACTCGATGTGCACGGCCATATCCGAGCGGCTGCTGGAACCATACTGGCACAGCGAAAGGGTCCACCGGTTTGCTTGCCGCCTGGTTCCAAGCTTTCCTGCCAATCCACGCCGACGGCATCGGAATCGGAACCATCAAGAAAGCTGGGAGGCCCTCCCGACACGCAAAGCGGAACAGGAGGAGGGCGCGGGCGACTTGTTTCTCGCAAGAAACCAGGAGGAGGGACCGGACAAGCCGAGCCTGCAGCACAGAGAAGAGCCATGAGGAGAAGTCCGGCTCCAGCAGCTGGAAGTGACGGGAAGACTGAGGCCGAATAGGGGGGCTAATTTGAAAAAACCGATCAGCTCCAACTGGGCCTACAATTCCCTCACCTCGGCAAACCTCAAGCACATCAATTCTAAAGGGGACCGAAGCACTCGCGGCACTGGACTCAGCAGTGGCCTCATTCTCGTCATCACCTCCTCACCGACAGCTCTAAGATCGGCCCGGACGGGGTTGTCAAGCCTGGTGTAGCCGCCCCGCTTGTCGCTACTAAGCCAAAGGGCCCTAGCGACTTCAAGGGGGAGCGCGGTGGAGCAGACGGCTCCTCGGCCCAGAGAGGCGTGAGCGGCGAAGACCTTGGGCGAGAACTCAGAGGGAAGAGCACGGAGGCCAAAACCAGCTCCTGGGCCAGGGCCCGCGACTGAGGGACCGCAACCTGCTCAACAGTGCTCGCGGGGTTTTCTTTCTCAGCGGCTCGGAAGACGTGGGAGAAGATCACCATGGCTGGTCTCCGGTAGATGCCGATCGACACGCAGGCTCCAGCAAGGCGGGCAGCAAGCTGAGGAGAGGTGATGGGGAGCCTCGCAGCTCGAAGACTCAAGGCAGCGAGAGGGAGGCGACGGGCAAGCGGTGCGCAGCAATCCCAGCCTTGACAACAGCCGGCCGCGCATCGAGCTCGGCACCACATCGAGCTCGGCACCAACGGCAGTGACAAGGTTAGAGACAACCACGTCCTTCTCAGGGGAGCCCATCACTCCACTGGAGGTGTAAGCTTGCTGCGCCCTCTCATGAAGACGCGCGGCTCCCTAAGTGATCGCCCTGGAAGATGCTGCCAAAACAGGGGGTCAACTCAAGAGCCCCAGGAGCAAGCGGGGTGCGAGAGCATTCGGAAGCCGGGTCAAGGAAACTTGCCATTGCTTTGGTGTCACACAACTCCTCAGCTGAGAAAGAGAATGATAAGCCAATCGTAGCGCTGCGCTCGTCGGTTACAGCCGCTTGATGATAATAATCTTTGCAGTCTGAAAGGAAAGCGCTCAGCGTGTCGCGCCAGCGCCTGAGTCTCAGGGCTGTAAACAGCACGCCGCTTGGCAACATTCTGCTAGGCCCTTCCATTCTCATCTCATGCTGGTTCGATCTCTCTGTCGATCCCGGGATTCGCTCTTAAAGCGTACACCTTACACAAGGCGGACGCAGCCTCAAAAGGTTGTTTGCGTCCCACAGCTTTGCCAGGCGTAGCACCTCATCGCGGCTCTCATTTGCAAAAGAGGGCCTATCGAAGCCCGACAAGGGTCGGTTGTGCAGCAGGATCAAGGGTTCCACAAAAGGAAGGAAGAGCGGGCCATCAAGCCAGGCCGCTAAATTCCACTGTCCTTTCTCATGCAACACCAAGCGCGAAGTGTCGAGGCTCCGATAAGGAGAAAGTTGAGGCAAAGAGGGACT